ATTAGAGAAGTAACTCTTTCCGTCTGTGCGTAGATTTTATAAGAATAGATCTTTACACGCGTCATTGGCAAGGGGCTGCAGCGGTATTGAGCAGGCGAGGCGTTGCAGTGGCCGCACACAGGGTCAACTCTAGTGCGCCCTTTACACAACCGACTTAATTAATCATTGTTCTATTTACAGAACATGCGCTGATGCCGTGTAACTGAACTCTTGTGGCAGTGAAAATTAACTATATGCTAAGAATGTGTGGCTTACTACGGTCAATCACAAAATTATAAAAAAACGCCTAAGTAACTAACAATTTCTTCTTGCATGTTTACCTTTACAATAAAGGTAATTGAAGGAAACATCGTACTAAAAATTGAACTGAAATACGAAATTACCAAGATTAACTTTTACATTATCATACTTAAAACTTCATACTAATATAATAAATGCGAAAGTTAAGATGGATAGATGGATGTTTATTAGAGTTTGTAGCCTAAACGCCTGAACAGATTTCCATAAAATTTGGTATAGATGTACAAGATAGTCTGGAAGAACACATAGGCTACTTACTTATGTTTTTTTTAATTCCACGCGGAGGTGCAGGCAAAAGCTAGTTAACTACATCAAATGTAACAGCAATCATCAATCACATGTTATGTTAAAAATATAATATCAGTGGTAGCAACACAACAATCTACTGCCATACAATCCCATTAACAGGATACGACCTACTGCATAGATATTGCCCTTCCGCGATAAACAATCGACCAATCTAAATAACATAAGTAATTAGATTCAATAATACAGCGACTAGAGTTAGTCACATCCGGGCCCAATTGTGAATAACATATGAATACTGCATATAATAAATCGATAAACTCCCTTCGACGAAGAAATATAATGTAATTTATCTTTTAAATATTCTTCCGAATTATAAATTGAAACGTAAGCAAATAAATTTAAATTCTCTATGGTTTTATAGAGATACATTTTTTGCTGTTTATGGTAATTACATCATGATACGATACGAGTATACAGGCACAGATAAATACTTACTTCAATGTTATAAAGAAATAAATCAAAAGGTAAGTGTCGATGGGTCCAAGTATTATTGCAGATATTGTTAGAAAAATTTATAATAATTAAAAACAAACGATGCGTAACAGGTATCACTTGCATCCGAAATAGAGCTCACGAATTAAATGCATCGTCCGTCTTCGCGCACAAACAAAAAGGTCAGAAGCCGACGACCCAGTTTTCCGGCGGCAAAGGTCACGCACGTCGGCCCGGGAAACGCACGATAACGTTGCCACTTTGGCAATGCAACGCACGCGAATCGACACCGAGTTATGCAATGCAACGCAAAACGGACATGAGATCTACGGTACTAGGAATTTGAGATTACCACCTTCGGATTTGGAGAGTTTTTGTAATTCCAAGATATTACTGGAGTTAACAAACTTAATGTGAAAGTAGCAGTTGGCAGGTTATGAATTATTAATAATTTTTTGCAATCTGCTAACTAGTCTAATTTTATTAATGTAATATACGTTTAAAATTAGTAGTGACTACTTAATTAATAAACTAGTGAGTTTTTAGTCAATTAGATTGTATGTTTTATGATAATTAATAGTCCAATGTTTTGTTGCTTAATTAGGTAAAGCATAAAAAAATTTAAAATTGACAAACTGAAACACTCAATGACTTCTTGTTGTAGTTTTCTCTAAAATTATTAGCGTTATGTATAAACTTTATTGCTGATTTTAATACAATTGTATCATGTATTATCGACGCGTGCTGTATTCACATCACTTGCATAACTTCGCACAATAAACACAATGATTAAAACACTTTACAGCGCGGAGCAGACCGCACTGATTGTGTTTTACGATTGCCCTCAATAATTTGATTTACAGGCAAACAAGAGAGTGCAAACACGTTATTGTCTCTCTGCCAAGTGTCACGAGAAGAAAGTTACTGCAAAACAAGTGTAGTCTCGGCCTGGGTCATTCAAGTTAACCTCGACGATAATAAGCTGTGTTTGGTTGCACGTTGAACGGCGTCGTCGCTCGATGTCTATTCCATAAATATTATCTTTTGCCTTCCGAGTCGCTCCGTGAGGAAATAAAAAATGAACACAGTAACTAGCCTATGTGTTTTCCCAGACTGTTTTATTTTATTTTATTTATTAATTTATGGACAACTTACAACTATCTTACAAAACATACAAAAACCTTCATCCATCTAAATCTATACTAATATTATAAAGAGGAAAGATTTGTATTTTTATATGTATTCAAATAACTCAAAAACTAATGGGTCGATTTGCAAAATTCTTGCACCATTAAAAAACTACGTTATTACTGAATTAATTCCAGACGAAGTCGCCACTAGTAGCTAGTCATTTATAATATCAGTAAGAAGTAAATATGTGTTTCAGCAACGGCGTAGTAGAGCAATGAATCTTAATATGACCCTTGATTACGTCATCAGTCTGATAGTTGTAATTCAGCCTAGCGCCGGTATGAAAGTATTTCTATCATCATTAGCTGGAGTAATTATAAATCATTATACAGGAATTTACTAACGTTCATAATTCATTCGCACGATATTCCCTATGCAGAATTCCCGGGCGAGTTTACGACGCCAGTACGCACAATAAAACAACTTGAGGAGTCCTCATTATGCTGGTCAACTTGCGACTGAATTAATTGGAAGTTAATTATATATTACGTTTATGAAAATTACGTAACAATTATTCAAACATATGCTGGGATTACTGACATCCTACGCCACGAAATGGTGTGTGATTACGATTTATTATATTATTTATTAGTATAGATAAACGCCGGCTATTGGTTAAAAAAATAACCAGAAACAAACGAAACTTAACTCTTTTTAATATTGCTATCTAGACTTTAAAAGCAAATAGTATTTTAAGTCTAGTAAATGTAGGAAATCGTGCCTGGAGCGACTTGATAATGAGCAAAGATAGTCGGTACGAGATCTGGCTAATTAATCAGAACCAAACCGAGGTGTCGACCTACGTGCACTGACATAGCTTTATGTCTTACAAGAGGTACGTTCTCTAAACACCTTCAATGAGACGCTACAGTTGAGGTCATTTATTTCTTACCCATTTAGGTAATCAATTGACATCTATACTATTATAATAAAGCGTAAACACACACTTCTTTGTTGCCTAAGATGTCAGCAATTACAGCATATTTTTAAATAATAATTTTTTTAATTAAAAGTCCTACACTTATTTCACGCTTTAGGCTATACATTTTCACGCTATTAAACTTAGTTGGTAAATTAATTGGATAAAAATCCTAATGTGGGAAAGAGACTATAAGATGCTGCCAACATCAAGGAAGCAAGGTTGCCATGGATTGTCATCATGTCATCTCATTTTGATATAATGAAGTTTTTATAAAGCGGATGAAGCCGCATGGTAACAGCTAGTTTACAAATAAGATTAAAATTTTGTTAATAGTAACTAACATAAGTGCTAAATTACATAACTTTTAGTGACGGTTTGTTGTAATCCATTTCTAAGTGGGAAGTGTATTTAATTCTTTGAACATAAGTTAAGGTACTTCATAAACGCAGTTTACAATCGCAAATACAGCTGACGTACGTCGACCGCAAACACCTGCTTCATGCATATCTAAAGTCCGATGCATGCATGTTAATTTACGATAAGATATTGATGAAAATTGAATTGACCCATTCAATTAATTTATTTCAATAAAGTGGCAATAGTCATTTATACATTTACTAGCTTTCGCCCGCGACTCCGTCAGCGTGGAATTAAAAAAACAAAAGTGAGTAGCCTATGTGTTCTTCCAGACTATCCTCTACATCTATGCAAAATTTCATCAAGATCCGTTTAGCCGTTTAGGCTACAAACTCTCACAAACATCCATCCAAACTTTCGCATTTATAATATTAGTAAGAAGTAAGATTACATGGAGTATGTATTATGTATCAACTAACATGCTTAAGTAAATTAATTCCTGTCGAAACACATTATAACAGCTTTAAAGCTCGCTACTTCACTTAATTCTAACTGGCTATTTTAACTGATGAATATCAACAAAACCACATTTATTATCGGTTAATTCAGAAACGACAGGAATATATTTTTCTATGTGTTTCGGTAGCGAAATGTACGAGTTTATGTGACACTAGCTTTCCCCCGCGACTTCGTTAGCGTGGTATGAAAAAATCCAAAACCAAGTAGCTTATATGTTCTTCCAGGCTATACTCTACATCTATGCATTCATTGAGATCCGTTCAGTAGTTTAGGTTACAAACTCTGACAAACATCCATACATCCATCCATCTAAACTTTCGCATTTATAATATTAGATCAGAACCGATGCTAGATCTTTACAAATTATTGACGATAATATTCTTTTCTCATATTATTTTCGCATTAAATAAATTAAGACTGAATAAATAAATAACTTTCCTGCTGTTAAATTAACTGTAATATTGAGCACAGGAAGAAGTTTATAGACCTCGTAGTAAAGTTTATTTTACGCTTAATTGACACTCAATGATGCCGCAATCCACTCGCTTTCCGATATGTTTGGTTATATTCAGTTATAAAAGTTCCGACTTCGACGCTTGTATAAATGAATATTACGTATAAAAGTTGATTTAATAAAGTGAGTAACGATACAAATTATAAGGCAAAAATGTAAGGATAAATTTAGCTTTCTCTAGATAAAATGACCGGTTTTACTACCTTTCCTTTCCTCGAATTAATTAGTAAATCATACTAATATTAGAAATGCGAAAGTTTAGATTGATGGATGTTTGTTAGAGTTTGTAACCTAAACGGCTGAACATATTTCGATGAAATTTGGTACAGATGTAGAGCATAGTCTGGAAGAACACATAGGCTACTCATTTTGTTTTTTTTTTTAATTCTACGCGAACGGTGTCGCGGGCGATCGCTAGTTATCTGTAATTAATAACATAAATAATAAAAAACTCACCTATCAGTTACCGGGGTAAACCCGGCATTTCTCTTAGCTGCTATGTTCTCCACTTTTCACACAAAACTGGACCTCGCTCTCAAATAATTAACCTATTTATTGCATTTGGCAGTAAAATTGCACTTATATCATAATAGCAGTGGTATTACTTATACTAATATTCGTAAAGTTTCACTCGCGTGTAGACTTCGATACCCTTAATAAAACCTGGAACAAAGATAATAAAATTAAAATACTACTAAAACATTCGTTAATCTTTCTACGTGTAGATGAGTGAGGAAAACTTATACAAAATTGGCATATCTCTGATTTCGAAGCTCATTTTAATATTTACTAGCTGTAGCTCGTGACTTCGTCTGCGTGAAATTAAAAAATAATACAAAATAAAGTCTATGTACTCACAGATAAATTACCTTTCTAACAGATAAACAATTTTTAATATAGGCCCAGTAGTTTCTGAGCTATTCCTATACAAAACGACAAATCTTTCCTCTTTATACTATCAGTGTAGACTTACGTCATCTTGCTATTTTTATTACAATAACACTCCTAATAGATTAGGAGCCATGCTGTAACTACACTAGTTTAAATTATATCATACAAAAATAATGTTTCTTTCATACTTTCACTTATAGAACTAAGTTAATGCATCGTGTGAGATTTTGTTACTAAGCATATTACAGTGAAAATTTCCCGATACTTATCATATAAGAATGCAAATTAAAAACAATAGTTTCGACCGCCGCGTGTACTCATATTTCAACTGCATCAGTTTCGAAGAACCGTCGTACAAATAAAAACGAACTATTTGTACCCCTGCCCTTGAGTAAGAAATATACGACATAATAAACCGAATGCGCTCGCACTGGACGCAATCTTTTCCAAGATCATACAAATGAATATGAACTGTTTCTCGTTTGCAGTAAAGTATAAATTCGTTTAGCATCTTGCAGTCGTTGCAATGAGTTAGCTAGACTGTTTGAATGTCAAACCAATGATCGACAGCGGCTGCTGCAGCGGTGCAATAAAAAAATAATTTATTCACGTCTGAGTAAATAAGATGATGGCTACGCAAATTGAAAATTTGGACTCCGCTTGTGCGGATGCCGAAACGTCGGCGTCGGACCCGTAATAATCTTGATATTTGCTCATTTCGGCTTCTTTAAATTTGTTACAAGTTTTTTCACAAAATACACATTTAAATTGAAAAATTACTACAATTGCAAACTGATGTTTCACAGACAAAATAAAACTAGGTTAATCCAAAAAAATGTGAAAGTAATGTAGCTACTTATTTGATAATATAATTTGTAATTCTTTTATACCAACTTTTTTATTGTTGTTGGCGTTACTAAATTATTAAACAAGTTCATAAAACAACAGACGATAAAACTTTATTACATTGTCTTAGAAAAAATTAGAACATCTAAATCACGTACTCGTGTTGGAAATCACGCAGCATACAATTGAAAATGGATTTATAGTGCAAATACGATTGTAAAGCTAAACGAATATTCAATGAAGCTGTTCTATTACCAATATCTAATATTAGTTGAACAAAAGCAGCAATATGTATGTTGCGATGTTGATTGTCGACGGCTATGCGGCGAACGTTCTGAAGGTCGAACTCGAGACGTAAATCTGGCGAGGCATTGAACTATGGAACGCAGCCGGAAGCCGAGGCCGATGACTGATGTGCGCTACCATATTTTTATAGGGTTGTATCAAGTGCGAAATATACGCATATTAATTGAGTATTGCATGTTAACGTTATACAATCGTTGAGCGGCTTAAGCCTACTTCATACTAGAGAAGATTAAATCTTAGACAATGATAGAGGTCTAGTGAGAAAAGGTTGACCTAAATCATTCATAATTATGCTCAATTTTGACTAGTCCTTATTGTTTATAGTAATTACTTTTAAAATAATAACAATAATTGATTATTGAACGTTTATCTAAAGGAATATTTTTAGAGGATTAAGATTAAATGATATTCACAGTGCTAGCCCTCGCCTTGTAAAATGTTTAGCAAACATTTTACGTATTCATTGTCGCCAGTCCGCTGCCGCCTTCACATTCTTCGCTAATTTTAATTTACTCGTTCGTTTTTTTAATACTTTTTTCACGACTTTAACACCGACTTTAGTATTCCAAGTCTTTTTTATGTTTGAATTATAATTCAGCGAGAAAACCAAAAGAAGTCCAAATTTGCGTTATATTCTAAATTGACAGATACTCTACAAAAACTTTACAATTTTACACTTACGGATTTTAAATAACATAACTAGCGTATTTAGCGTTCATTTAAAATTAAATCAACTTTGTTTATGTAAAATACATACCAATTTTTCGATTTTATGAGGAGGAAAAAAGGAGTTGAAGCCCAACCCGACTGATATTTACATTACAATTTCAATACTGGCTGAACCTTCTTCCGTCGCGGCTGTATAACTATAGTAGAACTATGTGATTGGCATATTTTTCAAAAGTTATAAATCCCCCTCTTAATGAATATTTAAAAAAAAGGAGGAATAAATGAATTTATCAGGAAACGTCGGCTTACCGACCTGGTGGCCTTATTAAGTTTTCTGTGTCGACGCCGCAGCGAAAGCGGGCGAGGAACGGCCTCTGTAAATCACTACAGTTTTTACAGCAGTC